TATTGGTCTGATCCAGCAGGGCTCTTCTGATATTCTTACCAGCGGAAGGCCTCGGTCTCTATGCCCTGTTGTTGGCCCTCCAGAGGAACTGGTTGGCCACTGTGTGAGACAGGATGCTGGACTAGATGGACCATTGGTTTGACCCAGCAGAGCTCTTCTTATGTTCTTACCAGGGGAAGGCCTGGGACTCTATGCCCTGTTGTTGGCCCTCCAGAGGAACTGCTTGGCCACTGTGTGAGACAGGATGCTGGACTAGACGGACCACTGGTCTGATCCAACAGAGCTCTTCTTATTTTCTTATGAGGGGAAGGCCTCGGCCTCTCTGCCCTGCTGTTGGCCCTCCAGAGGAACTGGTTGGCCACTGTGTGAGACAGGATACTGGACTAGATGGACCATTGGTCTGATCCAGCAGAGCTCTTCTTATGTTCTTATCAGGGGAAGGCCTTGGCCTCTATGCCCTGTTGTTGGCCCTCCAGAAGAACTGGTTGGCTACTATGTGAGACAGGATGCTGAACTAAATGGTTTGATCCAGCAGGGCTCTCCTTGTGTTCTTAAGCTGGCCTACGCAGGGCGCTAAACAAATGAAACCGCCATGCTCTTAACTGCACTGTTACCATCTGCTTTCCTATTTCCTTCACAAGTCAACTTTCCAACTCACATGCCATAGCTTTGCCACGGTTCCTATACTACTCTAACAAGGCAAAAGAAGCACACCTTTTCACATTTCTTCTTAAAGGGAAAAAGGATGATTTTGCTTCTTCCAAAAATGTTGTGTATGAAAAGGATGCATTTGTGAACACCTTGGAGTTTATAGGCACACAACAGCGTTTGAATGCGCAAACTGCACATCCTCCAATAAACCAGCCAGAAAGGTCGTTGGTATTCTGTGTATGGAATCCTGCAGATTATTCTGCGTTATACTGCAGAGGTGGGGGCTGGGACCAAGAGACACTGACATCGTAAGGCTACTGAAGACCTGATTTCCCCACGCAAGAGAACGAGGTGCTAAAATGGCAGAAGTGTTCTCCCTGCTCTGCTAGCTTTCTGGCTGCATGGAGGGTTAAAAACAAACAAACAAAGAAGAATTGGAATCTGGCACCTGCATTCTGAAGTGGTACAATCCGTTCCCACTTCTACCGCCTTATTCTTCTGCATCTGTAAAAGGGGCCTCGTGTGTTTCGTGATTACATGATATTTGAATCAGAGACCAAGCCTTTCTCTGAACCACATAAGAAGCGCCATGCTGGATCGGACCAAGGGCCCGTCAGGTCGAGCATTCTGTTCCCATGATGGCTGGGCCAAGGCAGCCTCCAGGAACCCCACTAACAAGAAGATCGCAACCGCATCTCCCCACCTGTGCTGATTTAAGGAGGCATGCCACCTTTGGTGCCCGAGGAAGTAGATGCTCACCACGATTAGTAGCCACTGATAGCCCCGTCCTCTCCATGCATTTCTCCACTCCCCTTTCAAGGCCTTCCAAGTTGGCAACCATCACTACCTCCTGCG